ATTAACTCGAAAATCAAATTTATTATCTTCTCGTGATTAACTAAAAAAGAATTTTATTTAAAAAAATTTAAGGATATCGGATTTGTTTGATAAAAATGCTTTTTTCTATCTGTTCAACCCCACTTTCACCGTGCTAGCCAACTTTTAAATTTTTTCGCTTGTATGGTAATTCTTTGAAATCTCATCAAATTAGGCTAAAATATTTATATGGGTTGCTAATTTGACTTTTATTGTTTCTAGAATCTGGTGAAAATGTTTTCGCGTGTACACTGTCAAAGAATCAAAGTTTTATATTTAAGTAATTATTCAAAGTAGGGATAAGTGCATTACAAGTCCTAAAACTTATCACAAAAGTGCGTTTGAGTCCTAAAACTTGCAAAAAGTTCATTTGAATCCTAAAACTTGTCAAAACGGTTCATTTGAGTCCTAAAGTTAACACCGTTAGATTTACTAACGGAAAATGCTGACGTGGCGCTGACGTGTCATTTTTAATTATTTTTATTGAGACACGTGGCGCTACGTCAGCAAAAATAAAAATAAAAATAGAAAAAGCTGAAAAAAAAACCAAAAAAAGGAAAAAAAAAAAAAAAAAACCGGCGGTGGCCAAGCCCGGCAGCCGGGAAGGACCGGCGGAGGTCGCCTGGGCCTTCCCGAAGCCCGGCGACCCTCGCCGGCCCCGGGCGAGTCCCCGGCGAGGGCCGGCGACCCTCGCTCAGATCTGGGGCGAGGGTCGCGCCCTCCCCCAGATCCGAGGTCGCCGGCCCTCGCCGAGGACTCGCCCGGGGCCGGCGGAGGTCGCCCGGGCCTTCCCGGCCCGGCGACCCTCGCCGGCCCCGGCGAGTCCCGGCGAGGGCCGGCGACCCTCGATCTCGGGGAGGGTGCGACCCTCGCCCCGGATCCGAGCGAGGGTCGCCGGCCCTCGCCCGGGGCCGGCGAGGGTCGCCGGGCTTCGGGAAGGCCCAGGCGACCTCCGCCGGTCCTTCCCGGCCGCCGGGCTTCGGCCACCGGCGGTGGCCGCCGGGCTTGGCCACCGCCGGTTCTTTTTTTTTTTTTCCTTTTTTTGGTTTTTTTTTCAGCTTTTTCTATTTTTATTTTTATTTTTGCTGACGTGGCGCCACGTGTCTCAAGAAAAATAATTAAAAATGATACGTCAGCGCCACGTCAGCATTTTCCGTTAGTACATCTAACGGTGTTAACTTTAGGACTCAAATGAGCCATTTTGACAAGTTTTAGGACTCAAATGAACTTTTTGCAAGTTTTAGGACTTAAACGCACTTTTGTGACAAGTTTTAGGACTTGTAGTGCGTTTATCCCTTCAAAGTATAAAAAAAGTTAACAAGTATCGAGTATATTTCCTTCTTCTTGGTATATTTATTTATATATTTTTATAATTATTTTCTTCTTTGTTTGTTCTTATATAAAATTTACGTATACTTCTTTTTATTGTTATTTTCTTATAAAGTAAAATAGTGATAGAAAAAGTAGAGGGCCACATGGGAGGGAAAAACAGAAGAGGAAAACAACTCAGATTAAAGTTAGAAGTAGAGGAAGAGAATTTGAATTTGTCAAACATAAATAAACAAGAATATATTTTTTCCACTTGTACTAAACACATCCCTTGAATCCAAGCGGGTTCTTGAAATGTTCCATCTCTAAGGTTTCTCTCTTAGGCTTTTCGGGATATAAAACATCAAAGGGGACATTCCCTCCTACCCAAGGAAGAAAAATATCCAGGTAGGAATTGGGAGTGTGGGAAGTAAATTTGGATTCGTCGAACATAAACTTGTACTAAACACATCCCCATATTAGATGTGGGGTAAACATGGGAAACAATCATATTGGTGGGTCATGATATGGATGGGCCTCTCTTATACTGTAGGAACCTTTTGATAATGAATGATTAACGTCGATTCCTTATCGTGTTGACTAGTCTATTTCCTCTTCTACTTTTTCTTGGGGAAAAGGACAGAGTATGATCTATTTCTGGATTCATTGAACACGCGTTTGGCAAGTTGTCAAACAGTAACAATTTTTATTATTTTGTTCTTAGAATCAGTTTTGAAACATAAATTCGTTTGGTAAATTTTTTGTTCCCGGACACAAATTTGCCAAAATTTGTTCCTAGAATCAATTTTGGAACAAAATCAAAAATCAGGAAAAAAGAAATTCTTTTTCTTCTTCTTCTTCTTCTTCTTCTTGTCCTGTTGCCGATCGCCGGCCAAGGCCGACGAGTGCGATGGCGAAGGTCCAGCCCTCGCCGGCAACGGGAAGAAAAAAAGAAGAAAAAAGGAAAGAAATATTAAAAAATTCAAAAATTATTAAAATATTATTAATAAAAAGAAATTTTATGCAGTTACTAAACGCATTTTTGTTTTTTCTATTCCAATAGTAGAAATTTTGAGCAGTTACCAAATGCTTAGAAATTATTTTCGGACATAGAATAAAAAAAATTATTTTTGAGCAGAATCAACTTTCGGGAACAGAATGATTTGGGATATTTTCATTCTCAATAGTTGGTTTCTGTGCTGTTTCTTTTTTTTTTTATAGGAGTTTCTGTGCTGTTTGCCCTAAAAAAAATAAGTACAAAATCAGGAAAAGCTGAAAGAAACTTGATTGATGCATCGTTGAAACTATTCAGCGAAGGAAAAGATGTGTTGGTAGATTTCAATTTTGGGCTAATGACATCTGGGAGGGCCTGTACTTTTTGTTCTTTGTGCATTTGAGTTTGAGTACAAAGAACATCTTCTTTCCATTCAATCAACTACCTAAATTTTGCTTTTACATCTCGGCAGCCACGTGTCTGTCCTTGTTCCAACCACCTTGTTGCCTCCACCCACCACGGGAGTCGCCGCCGCCACCATACTCGACGGCGCAAGAACCACCCCGCTTGCTTGGGCTCAACCATTGCCCTCAATAATTCACAGTGCCACCGTCGCCACAGATTCAGAAAACACTGCCACCATCGTAGTTGGCCGCCATTGCCATGAGCGCCAACAAATTTGGCCACCTCCGGCACTTGCCATCATTGCAAGCACGAACAGAGCTGCCCACCATCCAATACACTCGACCACAAACCAAATCCGACCACACCCATCACCGCCATCAAGAACTCAACGATGACACCACCTAAATTGAGATATGAGGTCTCGCGACCTTAGTCAAGATCACAACCACTGAATGGCTAAAAACGCGACCACCAACGCAGCATTGCAGCTTTCCTTAGAGGTCAACCGGAGAGAGTCGCAAAGGAAAAGACACGATGCAGAAGAGAAAAGAAAAGAGAGAAAAAGCCACAAAAAAAAACTCCATAGTCTGTCAACTATGCCACATTTACCTTAATTTTTTCTTGTGACATCAAAAACCCAAAACTATATTCATTCCGACACATTTACCTAACTTTTTCTTGTGACATAAAAAATCCGAAATTTATACCTATATGACACATTTGTCCTCTGTCAAGATTTCGTTAAATGACTTTTCAGCCAAAATAACGTCTTTTACCATATGTTGCCATGTCTATACTATTTGCTTTTTGGAATCCATATAAGCAGATTTTAAGGTTTCTCAATTACAAAACTTTGACGGAGAATCTATGTGTTAAACAGGTATACATTTGGGATTTTTTGTTAGGGTAATGTGTTACTTTGAGACTTTTGCCTAAAAAAGAAAAGAAGAAAAGTTTGTCCTGAGTTAGGAAAAAAGAAATAAGAATAAAAAGAAACGAGGCACTTTTAAAATCGTGCATCCATGGCAACAATTATTGTAGTTGGTGCTGAGGCACTTTTTTCGAAGCTGAGATACTTTCGATTATACAACAGAAGCAGAAGATCTGTTTGTTCGATTACGCATCAACATTCCCGAGTAAAAATAAAGTTTCTTTCGTTGACTGATCAAGCCGACGGATCGGATCGGGCAGATCGAAAATGGACGATCCAAATCGACCCATTTATTCTATCAGTACATCCTCGTGCGACACGACCTTAGCAACAGATACTTGACCGGATCTTAATCCAGTTCATGCCCGACATCTTCATTATTAAGGTTGGGATGGTTGACATGTGCTCTAATTTTTTATTCGTTTCTTTATTTCCATCTCCGCTCTTCTTCCGCGTAGCACCAATTGCTGAGAAGATGAGAGAACGAACCTGAACGGCGATGACGAAGAACTTTGTAATATTAGTTAGTTATCATCTTCCTAAGGCCTCGTGCGGACCTCGACGTACAAAATGTCGAATGATCTAAGAGAAAAACCAAAGGTACAAGAAATTTCACGCGATTAAATTAATTCAGATGTCCTTAAAAATCTAAATTTCATGCTATAGTCTCAGTAAGAAACGGGACAAACAAATAGTAATCTCTTTTTTAAACCAGACAAAAGGGTATTTGAATCAAACCGTTATTCTCACAGTAGATGAAAGACCGTTATCCAATCATTTTTCGTTGTTATTCTTTTCATTTTTTGTTGCTTTTTCTAATCGAAAGAACAAACTGGGCATTCACGTGGACACATCTATAAGAGAGAGAGAAATGACATTTCATGGACCATATAATACTCTCACTTTGTCTCTCTAAAATCGGTACGTCGGAACCCATCAAGACCGATATCTAGTTAAAATTTACTACTTCAAAACCTAATACAACCTGTTTTTTTTTCCAATTTTAACTAACTCGCGCGTAAAGCAATCCACTAAATATGAGTTAAATTGCTGATCTTTGACCCATTCTGCCAGCTCTACTTTTTCTCTCTCTGAAGTATTCAACAAGATGCCTGTGAACCTTGCAACTTGACCGGGTCGAGGAATGGGAAGCAGAGTCAATATTCGTGTAGCGTTACCGTTTTCGCCGAAAATGTATGATATAGACCTTCTCAGCACTGAGTCAGTCGGAATAACAAAGCAAGTAATAGGCCCACTTTTATGTAACAGTCTTATGTTTCATACTGTACCAATGAGAAGAGTCTCCTATCACATTCCAACGGTCTTTCAGAACCGTGTCGAAGGTCAATACATTGGAAATTTTGCCCTCGTCTTCTCGAAAACTTGTTCAGCGGTAACAGCTCCGGTACCATTGGCTTTTTTAATCTCCAACTGAGCCTTTTGATAGTAACCGGTACCCCTTAGCGCGTCTGCAATGAAGTCGTCGAACCCGATTGCTATGGCTGCTTCGGCCTTTGCTCCGTGGACCAACCTTTGTTGCCGAAGAAGAACAATATGTAGGCAAATTCAGAAGATTCATACAAGAATCCATACCGGGCGGATAAGGAAATTCGAAAGCTTTAAAGAACCTTAATTCTTGTGAGGTGGCAGGCTCCAAAGCACATGGGACAAGGCTCACAAGAGGTGTATATTTCGCAATCCGATAGTTCGATTTGATTTAGCTTCCTGCAGGCCTGATTAAATATATCCAACTTGATTTCATGAAAGCGATGTGAAATGATTTTGAGGAAAAAATGTAGTGGTAAAGTGAAGAAGGGAGAACGTGAATGCACACATGAACTTCAAAATGGACAACTTGTGTCATGTGCAATAAGTGTCTAATCCTCTAATTCAAGAAATTATGCAGACTTTACTCAACTGTGCAAGCCCTATGAACATTGTAAATAGCGAAGCCGTTGGATGAAGAGAAATGATTCGTCGCTACAGAAGACACGAGCCTGGCGGAACGGTCAAACAATTGCCAAAACTTATTTTGAGTGTGAAACCCAGCCAGAGTACAAGAGTTTGAAGAGATCAACAAGAATATCAGATAGTAAATTCACAAATCAGTAGAAGTTGAGCAAATTGACATATTAATAAAGAGATTGGGAGGCATGACTTGAATGATAAAAGGAAACAAAATTTCAGATTTCGATACCACTAGATTTGATGAAATTCGAAGCCTAACCTCTCTGACTTCCGCATGAGCGGTAGGGTGGGCGTTCTTCAAAACCACGTTGTGACAACTTACGACAACCTCATCGTTACGAACAACTGCTGCCCCAAACGGGCCACCATCTCCACATTCAACACCCTTATAAGCTTCTTCGATTGCTCTGGCTAAGAATATGTGATCCCCATCCTGAACAGCTGGTATGCCTCGAAACAGATCAATGCAGTGACGAAAAGTCATGCCAAATGAACTATATATTGCTTACCCTCTTGATGAGCAGGAAATGCAGAAGCAACTGAGACTTTCCAGTCTTTAGTTTCCACCACTGAGAAAAGACAGATGGGACAGTTAGATGATCACATCATCAAGCGACAAAATTCCAATAACCACCATAACACAAAACTCGGAAGGAACTAAGACTCCACAAGAGCAGATAAACAAAGCAATCGGCGTGTGTACATAAGCCTAAGAAAAGTACCGAGTCTAAATTCAAATCTGGTTCTCATCCTAGTTCCCTCTTGCAAACAGCACGCATTTCCAGCACGCATGGCTATCTGGAATGATTGATCGGTAAGGATGGTGTTATGATTAAAGTCACCTGGAACTCAACGAAATCATCAACATTTATCACATTCAACAGAGATCTAACATTTATGCAACGTCTAAAACTGGGTTGATCTTATCGTTTGCTTGACAATGCAATGTCCAAAATGCTAACCAGCCAACTACAGGAGTGTCAACTTTTCCACTGGAAGCATCAGAAACCTTTACTTTGATGAAGAAGCTAACGAACACAGCCCTCGCGTTTGTCTTTCCAATTTAAGGCGGCAAACGATGGAAAAAAACCATCGTCAAACCATGCAAGCGAAAATATTCGAAACACCAGCCAGCGCCATACCGAAGTCAAAGCAAATTTCAACCCGTCAATCGCAATCACCACGAGAACACATGCATAAGCACGAAGTTAAATCTCTCGACTGGATCTGATGAGACCGACGGATGAAATCCCAAGCGAAATGAATTATACGGACGAAACCAACGAAGCGGTTCGAAGAGTTTATGCTCGCAACTGGCCTCCTCCATCGCAGGATCTCCGGGTTGGGGAGAGCGGAACTGACCAGATTCCCGAGTCGGCGGGTTGAGAAACGAGTCGAGAAAGGAGGAGGACGATGGAAATGGAAGATGGCTGACGGCGAGCATGCGCTACGTCGCCGAGTGTAACTCGCAGTTGCAGAAACTGAGGAGAGAAAGTGGAATCTTCCCAAGGATTCTTCATCTCCTCCTCGCGCTCGCGCGCTTCCCCGAGAGCAGACATTGAGCATCCACGTGGTCCGACATCCTCGTACTTCGGTGCTTACGTGGACCTTACCGTGGGACTACCACATTCAGTTCAACGGCTATAGTCATGTTGATCTAATATAAACTCAATTCATGTAACATTTTTTTTCGCTTATTCAATGTCGTAGATCACATGGATGGATGCACGATTCGCCGACACACCCTTTTGTACTTTATTATCCAATCAAATCATTAACAAATTTCTAATTTGTCTAAGAACGTGCTAGCACTTGCTCAAATTTTCGACGAAGTTACCCCGATATCACTTCCGACCATTTAAAATTGATGTGAGCTTTAAGCTGTGTCGGAGTATGATTTAAAAGGATTTCTTTCGTGGTGGCTTGTCTATGAAGGCAATTTTGTTCCGCAATGGCCTCTCCGAGGCAAAAATTCTAGCCATTTTCCATCGTGACTTGTCTATGGGGGCAAAACTTATTGAGAAAATACCTCTACAGTGCTTTGAAGATGACGAAATATTCAGAGTTATTGATGTGTGCATTTAATCGTATAGAAAGTTTGTATGGGCACTAGCAAATATGCAGATGGAGTCTATCACAGGATGTCTGAAAGCACAATTAGGCTCTGCTTCTACAGAAGGAGAACAAACGGAAAGTGTGTCTAAGACTGGATGTTTACATGGGCACAAGCAAATATGCAGATGGAGTCTACCACAGGATGTCTGAAACCATGATTAGGCTATGCTTCTACAGAAGGAGAACAAGATATTAAACGGGAAGTGTGTCTAAGCCTAGAAGGACGTTTTGGAGAAGGTGAACGGGCTGCAAAACATCGTCTGTTAGAAGGTGAACAGACAGTTCCGCGAGAAAGCGTGAAAAGACTAGAAGGACCCTTGGAAGACAAGTTTCTATAATTTTGGAGAAGAAGATCTAGACTCTATCGATTTCATTTAAATTTAACTCTTTTTTCTCCTCTTCACAGAGTACAGATCTCCAGTTCCGCAGCTAGCTTCGACAGGTTACAATGATACAGCCATGCAGAACAAGCCTTTCTAACGCAAACACTTATCCATGGAATGTTTCAGAACAACAGCACAACACCCAAGCGTCTCTATTGATCGGAACTCCGCCTGGTCAGTGCTCAAAAGCCATATTCTCAACCTCTTGCTTCACGGACTCGAATAGCACAGACGACAAATAACGTTCTCCACCACTGGGGAAGATCACCTGATAAAGTTCATGCAGTATAAACTCAGAGAAAAGCCAAACTAGTCAATCCAGGAAACGGAGAATCATTAATGAAAACCTACGGATATCAAGGCTATGATGCTTGAGACATTATTAATCTTCCTTGCAACAAAGTGTTTTCAGACGCCGATCTAAATTTCAACGTAAAATTGGACAATTGTTTCTGGGTGAAAGAAACAGTTACAACGATGAGTTTCCCAGCATTTTCAGGCCTTCTCGCTATCTTAATTGCTGCAGCAGCTGCTGCTCCGGATGATATTCCTACCTGCAAAGTGCATCCCGACGATCATGAGACTGCAATGAATGCAAAACGCACAATAAGAGCTAGCAGTAGTTTTTTCTCTTTTTCTTATTTTCTTTTGGCCATAAGAGCTAGCAGTGGTTGACATTCCTAATGGATCACAGTATTTGCACAATAGGAAAGCACAAAAATTGAACGCAGATTACCAGCAAGCCTTCCTTCAATGTGAGCTGCTTCGCAGTTTCAATAGCTTCATCGCTTGATATCTGGAAAGTGATATGGCACTGAATATTAACTCAGGAACGTATAAGCTCAGAGAATGATGATCAACACTAGATGGCAAAAATAGATTGCTTCCATAAGTGGCTGACAAACAACATACATAGCCTTTTGGATAAACCTTTGTCGTATTCAATGATATGTAAATATACCTTTCGTCCTTGTGCATTTGCTTTATCCAGATATATTGCAAAGAGTACAAAGTCAACAAGCACTCATAAAACGAACAATTTCGGAATTCCAACACGAGACTATCAAAGTACATCAGTAGGATGAAGTTACAATGTCCATACACATAATTGTGAAGCCATGCAAACAACGGGAGACTTGTTTTAATTTTCCACTTGTTATTCGAAGCCACCTTGCAATTTCCTATCAAACCTAAGCTCACTCCTAAGAAAAGAAACCGTAACTTAGAAAGCTCATTGCTTACGAACCCATTCTTGCTAAAACCAGTATTATCCGTCTTTATGTCATTTAGCTCTTCCATCACCTGATATAGGCATAAGGATATCACAAGTGCCATAACTTTCATACGTGCGTTCATTTGAGTGCCATAACTTTTTCTTTTCTCGATCACTTGAGTTCCATATCGGTAAAAATCGTTCGTGTCTATTTTGGCAATTCATCCCACATGGCTTTTTAAACTAATTTTGACTCCAATATGGCTTTTCAGAATGAAATTGAAGTCCAACATGGAAAATTCTTCGTCCAATGTGGCATAAGTAACCAAAACAATGATGTTTAATTTATAGCTAGGCAAAACTCTCTCTCTCTCTCTCTCTCTGCAACCTTTCGAAGATGGTCACCGGCACCGAGAGAGGCAATGAACTTCCCCCATCTATTTCATCGCAAACTGAATGATTATTGGAGAGAGAGAGAGAGAGAGGTGGGGGGGGACGGAGATGAGGGTCCACAAGTTGTTTGCAGCAGCGAGGAATCCGAAGCCCGCGCAATCGAACGTGAGTGCTCCAGTGGAGAATCCAACATTTTGCACATGCCTAAGCAATCTTCCTCTTCAAAATTGAAGCCTTCACCACAAGTTCTCTGAGCCTCAGCTCGAGATTGGTTGATCAATTTGTAAGCCACTTCAAATAAAAAAAGAGGAAAAAGAAATTGCCTAAGCAATCGCCCTCTTCTTCCTCTTCGATTCCACAATACTTCAGTTCTCTACAACAAGTCGTTTCTGCACTCTTTTGCTGATTAAATTTCTCCAGTGAGTCATGTAGCCCAATTTATAATAAATTAATGGCACTTTGGATTTTCCATCAAGGGAAATCGCCGATAGCACTCGAGCGAGCGATTTTTAAAAGTAATGGCACCCAAGTGATTGACAAAAAAGTTACACGAAAGCTATGGTGCTTATGGTGTCCTCCTCCCCTTGACATATGGAAGTAAATGAACCGTTTTCCCAGCTTTATAAGGGGAAAGGGAACAAATAACATCTCTTGCAGTAACTCTTACCTGTATTACTTCATCGAGTAAATCCATGTCCAAAACTCCGGGTATGATACCAGCGCCGATACCTTGAATCTTATGAGGGCCTGGGAAATTTTATGGGCATGAAATTCTTGGTCAAATGGAGGATTACACAAGATAGTTTTCAAAAGAGAGAAATCTTATTTGGAGAAATTTGGCACTTAACATGCTTATAAGTTATAACAGCAAAAAAGGATACAATTGACTGCGTCAGAAGATAACAAAGCAGCGCCGCCGGTTGCAAAAATGATATAAACAATGCAAAATAGAACAATAAAAGGAAATACAGAGCTACATGCTTCATAATGTAAAGGACCATCATTAGTCCATGGTTACTGTGGCACTTGCAGAAAGTAGTGTATAATAGCTAGAACTAACTAGCCTAATGAATTAAAAGATTAAGAATGTCAGTCATGTGACATCAGAACTTACCAGGTTTCCCTCCAGACAAAACTGCACTCTCCACTGGTTCTACTCCGTAGAGCTAAAGACAATAACAGAGGTGTATGTGTGACATGAGAAATAGGACTATAGGAAAGAGAAAACTTCTGTCCCAATATTATAACCACAAGAGAATCTAACCTTAATATTGGGGTTTTGTTCCTTGAGATACTTACCCGCTCCAGTTACTGTACCCCCAGTTCCAATTCCAGAAACAAGGGCATCGATTTTCCCACCGGAGCTTTTCCATATTTCTGGTCCGGTGGTCTCATAATGAATCTGACAACAGAGACAAGATCTTATCAATGAACTTTTTTTTCTTTGATCAGTACTATTAATGAACAGCTCAAACCTGCAAACATCATATCAAGAAGCAAAAAGTACCTTGGGATTGGCAGGGTTTTCAAACTGTTGAGGCATGTATGCATTTGGAGTCTTTCCTGCTATCTCTTCCGCCTTCTGAATGGAACCTTTCGCGCCTTTGGCTGGATCAGTCAGGATCAGCTCAGCTCCAAATGCACGGAGGACGGTTCTTCTTTCAAGGCTCATTGAAGCAGGCATTGTTATTATAAGTTTGTAACCCTTCACAGCTGCAATAAATGCCAGACCAATCCCAGTATTTCCGCTAGTTGTCTCGACCAAAACACTCTTCATCAAATCGAGCAAGTAATATTTATGGTTAGATTTCTTCATCATCATCTATCACTCTACAGCCTACAAATGAAGAGAGAGAGACAGAGAGAAAATGCCCATTTTCTAGGTTAGTTATAAACACTTTCAACGAGAAAGATGTTCCCATCCTTCAGGAACTATATCAAAAGTCTCAGATGCATGAGCTAGGAGCCCTTAGTTAGTATATTATTGTTATTGTCATCATACCAGAGCACTGTCCCACATTAAAAAGTGCACACAGCCACCAATTATTATGAACCTGGAAAGAGAGGTTTCAGTAACTAACCTGCCCCGGCCGAATAAGGCCCTTCTCCTCTGCATCTACAATCATACTGTACCCAATCCTGCAGGCAGAGAAAACATATCCGTATTAGACCCTGAATATGAAGTAATCCACATACCTAGAGGCTGTAGACAAGGTTGAGATAAGGAATGAATTCCACATGAAATACATCCATTCCAAGTTTCTGACTCATCTGTTGTTGTTCACTAGAATTGGTGCATGCATGTGTGCAAGTGAGAAAGGGGGTATGGTTTGTGAGCAAATAAAGAGAGAAAAGTGGATGGTGAAGAAAACGGGAGGGAAGGAAATAGCCAATTCATACTCTTCTATTGTAGTAACCTTCAGCTATAAGGCTTTGCCCAAACAAACTAAATGTTTCTTAAAGGACTTGGAATTTTGTGGACCATTTTCATAGATGATAACTGCAGTCGATGTTTTATTCAACAGTAGATTCTGGCAAGGAGTTCGAGTCAAACAAAGAATGGAACTCCGACCAGACTAACCGATCTTGTTGTCTAAGTAACGAATATCCAGATTGGAACATTATGTGAAGGTACGAATAAGACATAAAGGCACAGTCATGAGCAGTTTAACAAGGAAGGGAAATTTTCTTTTTTTGAAATGAAAGCTTTATGTACCTGTCTTTGACACTGGAGCATGGCTCCATCATTTCTAGCTTGGCAGCAATTCGGGCAACACAACAGTCAGTGAAATGGTTGAGGTACACCAGAGGGGTCTTACCAATTAACTGCATCCGATTAAAATATGAACAAGAATGTAGTAACATAAGCACACAAAGGCAGTATTCAAACTATAGAGAATTACTGAGATGAGTCATGCAATTAGCTTACTTCAGTGACATCTTTTGCAATCATAGACTTCTCTTCCACCATTTTTGTGCCACTGCAAAACCCACCAAGATTTTTGAGTGATTCAGCAAATAAGGACCTGTGCAAATAACTAAGAAGCTCACTTTGGCAAATGAGAAGAAAAATCCCAGCAAAAAAATCTGAAACTTCTTGATATTTTCCATTCATTTATTCAGCACATCATACAAAACACTCCCAAATTGACCCAAAGATTCAAGCTTTTTCATGTAGGTCCCACAAAATTCTCACTCAGAACTGGAGATTGACCCATCAACTCATGAAGAAACACAAATTGATGCACTGCTACCTTAATGACCAATGCAGTGAAGAAAAGTCATGCCAAATGAACATATCTTGCTTACCTTCTTAATGATCAGGAAATGCAGAAGCAACAGAGACCTTTCCGTCTTTAGCTTCAACCACTGAGGAAAGACAGCACGACAGTTAGATGATCACATCGGCAAGTGACAATATCCCGATAACCACCGTGACATAAAACGCAAAGGAACTACCACCCCACGAGTCTGCACAAAAAAATACTGAGTCTAAAACTAAATCTGGTTCTCATCCTAGTTCCCTCTTGCAAACACCGCGCATTTCCTGTAGACGACGGCTATCTGGAACGATCGGTCGATAAGGACGGTGCTACATCTAAAGTCACCTGGAATTTCACAAGATCATCCACATATTATATCACATTCCATCGAGATTCTACTTTCACGTAATGTCTAAAGCTGCATGGAACTGATTTGCTTGACAATTCAATGTCCAAAATGCTACCCAGCCAACTCCAAGAGCGTTGACTTTCACACTTGAAGTATCCTAAACCTTCAGTTTGATAAAGAAGCTAACGAACACAGCCCACGTGTTTGTTTTCTTTCCTATTTAAGGCGGCAAACGATGAATAGAAGACAAAAGGGGTAGAGCCAACATCCCCGGAAACACCAGCAAAGGCAACGAAGATAGCCAAAGCAAAGCAAATTTCACACCATCAATCGCAAACACCACGAGTATGTACGCACAAGCGAAATCCACGAAGCGATTCGAGAGCTTGAGCTTACAACTGGGCGTCCTCTGTTGCAGGATCTCAGGTGGGTGAGAGCGAAATTTGACCGGATTCTTTAGTGGGGTGGTCGAGAAACGAGTCACAGAAAGTAAAAGGAGTGGAATGGAAATGGAAGATAGTAGAGCGCGAGTGTGCGCAGCGTGTACTCGCAGTTGCAGAAGAGAGAGAGAGAGAGAGAGAGACGACGCAAGGAAGTTGAAATGGGAATCTTCCCAAGTGAAGTTATTACAAGGACTTAGTCATTGCAGTCCAACACTGTAGTGAACGTGGCTAGTCATCTGTTCCACGGTAGATCGGTTTCCACCCTGTGGACATAGGAACCAACCTTTGCCCATCACAAAACTGGATCAGACTGGACCGGCCAATCCTGATCCCAATCCCGATCCGATTTATGAGAACTTATTATTTTTTTTGTATGTTTTTTTTCTTAAGTTACTTTAATGTAGGATTGAAATTAGTAATGACAGGGAAATTACTAGTAAAAGAAGATATTACTCCGATAAATAATATGTATTGTTTTCCCTTTGCTGAATAGAAAAAATATATACCTTAAGCTAGTCGGTCTGATTCCTCTCTAGGAATAGGACCGATTCTTGCAGAACCACTCAGAACTGATCGGTTTAGTCCGATTTCCAGATTGGACCAAGACCGATGCATGGCCCTAGCTTACATTTCCATTGACTATGATCATATTGATTTGTATAGACTAATCCATGCGATACTCTATACAACACGTCTAACCAATAAGGCTAATGTGGGCATTAGGCCGTATTAAAGTATGACGTAAATTTTTTTTATGGTGTATCATCTATGAGGGCAGTTTTTTCCACGGTGGCTCGTCGGAGGCAAAAACTTTAGTCGCGGACAATGCATAGTCTACAGTCGCATTGGTGTCAAAGGGACTTGATTGGAGAATTTATAAATTTTGAAAGGCTCGATTAGAATAATTAAAATTCCAAAGAATTGAAGAAAATAAGCGTTCAAAAATTCAACGATGAATAGCATAATCCTTCCTTTTGTATCATATGTCATGATCCAACCTACAAATCCATTCGACACCAACATGTCCCCCCCTAAGTAGCAAATTTGAGAGGTGAGAGTGGGTAAAAACATGCCACTCGCACATACCATACCCTCACTACTCTCTATGCATATCACCAAAACACATCATATGCACAGCACAAGTACTTTTGAGGCCAAAGTTCCAGCGTACCAATAATACAAGTCGATACACATTTCACATGCTATGCAGAGAGTAGATAAAGCTTGTAAAATGAGAGCGTGTACTCGATATATATTCCGAGCTCGATAAGCCAGTGCATCCCATGAAAGCCAAACCAGACCCAAACCCAAACCTGACCATAGCCGATGCGGTTTCTATCTTGCTGGAATGTGTACAACAAATGGTCTCTGATCTGGAACTTTTGGAGAATCTCAACATATTGAACTGTAAAACTATTTTAGCAGGTAGAGTTTGGAGCTTGGAACTTTGACTACAATAAGTAGCTCAATACGAGAGTCATCGTTCGAGAATAAAAAATTATCCGTCACAAGATAATCAAAATTTAGAATATGATTGAGCTTCTGATCCAATTAAGTCTGGCAAAAGATGTAAAAAATGGCATTAGACAAAATAAGATATAAGAAAGCAAGACACAGTAAAGAGGAGCTGGAAACTGCATCTGGGCTCTTTGAGATTAGGAGATCCCTACAACACCTCACTTCTTCTTTCCAGCCTTGGCTGCATCACCAGCCTTTGCCTGTACAAAATGATAATAAATGAATACGCAATGAACGGTTACCACTGTACTACAGAAATAAACAGTAAGAAGAAAAACTTAAACTCTGTACCTTCTTAATACCACGGATCTTCTTGGCCCTGTTCTTCCTTTCCTTCATTTGCTTCCTTGACTTCTCGACCTTAGTATCCAGTCCATTCTGCACAGAGGATTGATTTAGTTCGTTGTCATAGGACACAAGGGATCAAGGTCAAACCAATCATCAATCACATCCTAACCAGAAAATACTCAGGGTGAGAGAGAGAGAGAGAGAGAGAGAGAGGTGGAGAAGAAGGGTCTTTCAGGTTTGCATATGTGTTGCTTCATGATTTTCTAACATCACCTATTCTATTAGAACATATATCCCATGATTCGAGATTGTGGAAAAAAAATCTTAGAAGCAAGCACAGCAAACACACCATGAGAAGTCACAGCGTAGAATCTTTCATGGACCAGCTCTTAGATAAAGATCACAGAAGAACAAGCTCTAGCCTTACATCCTTGCGTCATCTTTCATATTTTTATGTATCTAAAGGAAAAAAAAGGAGATTACCCTGATAAGCCTGTACTTTGGCTCGTACTTCTTCGCAGTCTCGACAGAGTCGTAGATCAAGCCAAACCCAGTGGATTTTCCACCTCCAAAATGAGTCCTGAATTTGAAAACGAAAATTGAGTTGGGGTCCTTCACATCGTACATCCTTCCAAGCTTCTCCTTAAGCTCAGCCTAAGATTAAAAAAGAAAACAAGAAGCAAACCAACAACTTTCAGTAAAAGTAATGGTGGAATAAAACAATCAAACAGGCAAAAAGAACCTACAACAACACTGAATTACTCACAAACTGTGGTTACCTTGGAGACATTGGGTCTTCCAGGGTGCAGAACATCAATCACCTACGATGCAAGGGGCAAGGCATCAGCAAATAAAGAGATATGCATTCTCTTTAGAATATCACACGAAAAGAAGATCCAAGATCCAGTTCTTCCATTTATACTGTGAAACAGGAAACTCCGAAATCCAACTCAGGGGCTAAAACTAATGCTACAGCAAACTGCTTACACGAAGACCCTAACAAAAGGAAAATTTCACCTCAAAACAGGTCGAGTCCAGTCCGAACTTATAAGACATCCAACCAAAGTCCAACAAGCATTTGCTGCATTGCTCAATTACCGTAAATCCTCACGACACAGCGTTCTTCCTTTTTTGCACCTAAAGTAAAGAACTTCAAATCTAAAGTTCCTTAACGACACTGGGACCAGAGATAAAATTGACTCCGAATAGCAAATTCGCAACTACTCGAAAGGATTCTCCACCAAATCACCAACCACAGAACCAAAACCCAAAGAACATTGCTCCTAACAACCGCCACCCTTCAAAGACCTTGCTTTCTACGATCACAGCTAACTGGGAAGTAGCTAAAACAGTCCACACACCTCCTGTGGCCACTCGCGGAGGTGCTCAGACAAATCCCTCGAAACCCAATTTCCCGAATTCACGGACGAGCACTCCCAGCCAAAAAAAGAACCATCTTTTCTGGAACAGCAAGGGCTAGCGAGTTCGGACAAAATCGAAGAAAATTCACCCTCAAGTACGTGAACAGACAAATCCAACGCGCGATCCAGGGCTGCCCACTAACAAGCTGCTCTTCCCCGACACTGAGAAACCGGAAATCCGCGTACCCACGAACCCACACACGCACGCACAAACACAGACACGCACGGCGGGAGAGAGAGACGTACGAACTGCTTCCTGGAGAGAAGCCTGTTGGTCATGAACTTCCTCGTCCGGATGGTCACCGCCTTGTCAGCCATGGTTAACCCTCTCTCTCTTCCCTCGTCGGAGACTCGAATTCACTCAACCGGTGGCAACCGAGAGGGATGACGGCTCGACGGCAATGGCAGCTCCAGCAGAGAGAGAGAGAGAAGAGGAGATGGGGAGGCAGAGGAAACGAATATATAGCTAGGGTTTTCGCTCCATTTGGAGAAGAAGAAGAAGATGGCCTAAGAGTAGCGAGAGGGCCCGTTGTGAAATGGGCCTCTGGGCCGCAGCCTGCATTTGAATATTCGGCCCATCAAATTTTGTAAGATAAGTGGGCCTATTGGGCCGACAAAGTTTGTGAAATAATTTTCGAAAATTAGTCTTCGGCCCAATTTTGGGCTTTAGTTCTATGAAGGTAAAATTGAGGGTAAAAAAGAGAAGGAAAAAAAAAAAAAACAATGCCCTTGTGTTAATTAGAATTATTCCTTTTATTCTTTCGGATTTCGCAGATTACTTGCCCCACTTTCCTTTTTTTTATTTTTTTTATAGAAAACCCCCTTGATTGTCAAATTAGTTGTAATTCCCTCAATACTTGTTCAATTAAAGTTATGCCAATTACGCCTAGTATGATCGCTAAGTTTTGTTGCGAATAAGCAAGGTTACTGACGGAAAAACCCGAATTTGGCACATGTACCGATTTTACTGTTGTTGAAGTATAGAAAAATGTGTTGGCCCAAGAAAAAAGATTAGAAAAGGTGGAGAGACAGATTATTCAGGACTTTTACTTGTGAGGTGCCTAGTGAATCGCGATACTTTCGCTTACAAAGAAAATCATCTAGTGCTCTCGGATGGCTGTGCAACTTCTTCCAATCACCCATAGAGTATCGAGCGCTATGAATTTCTTTAGTTTTTTAATGAGAAATTACTTCGTGTCTTGTGATTGATTAGGTTGAGCACATAGAATCGTTTCTCCTCCCTTTTTTTGTAGTTTCGTTAGCACCTTGGTCGAAAGCTACACGAGATCAAGTAAGTGGGTGCAATCTACTTCCAAATTGAGCTCGACCCAATAAAATTCTTTGCAATAGTCCATTGCAATATTCTCTAAGTTTCCTCATGAATGTACTAATGTATATATTCTTTTCCCTCTTTGGAAGTGACATGAACCCCCCTCCCAATTTCTGCCACAGATTCCTATTCTTATAAGTCACAGATAGATTTCTTGCCTCTAGAATCAATTCGAATCCCATAAATATCTTTTATCAAAGGGGGTTTTTCTAACTTTTTTGACCCTTGAATTTATCTTGAATCCGGTTGAAAATCGAAATATTTCCTTTTTCAATCGAATTCCTTGTTCGTTACGAAAGACACGGACCGGGGGCCCACGAAATCAATGGAAACCCTCACGTTTAGGACGAACCAAATCTATATATAAAGCGAAATCTTGAGATCGATAGCAATCACCAAACAAAATTCCAGATACAAACCACGCGAAACCACCAAACCCTTCGACATTGACTTTTGTTAAACCAAGAAAACCTCTCTCCACGATGAGCGTGCTCCTCCTCAACGACCAAACCATCCTAGGTTTCATCAACGACAAGGAGGCCTTCGGCGGCTGTGCCGGCGAGCGTTTCCGGGAGCTCGACGTCGACGGCGACGGGCTGATCTCTCGTGAGGAGCTCCGGTGGGGGTTCGGCAGCGGCATAGCCTTGGACCACGAGGGGGACGCCGAGGAAGGGACCGATGGGCCGTTTGATGCGGCTTTCGACCGGTGCGACGGGGACAAGGACGGGGCGCTCGGCCCAGAGGAGTTCAGGGGGTTCGTCGAGGAGATCATGCGTGCATTGGCCCAGGGGATCGGCGGGGTGCCCGTCTCGATGGTTCTCCAGGAGGGTAGCTTGTTCGTCAAGGCTGTTGAACATGAGTTGGAGCAGAGGTAAGAAGATAGAGAGAAAGAGAGATTAGGCAATAGTGATTTTGGTTTTCTTTGGGAGGATTAGGGTGCAAACTTAAGGCATTCTTTCGATAGGAATCACATAGGATAATGCATATCTTGTTTTCTTGCCAGCAATAACTAAAGATTGGGGCAATACCCACATCCTCAAAACCAGAAATTTTTTACCAAGAGATTCACCATGACATTTATTAGTTGCGTTACTCAATGAAATTGATCTTCTATGAATTCTTTTCTTGATGCTTTGTCCTTCCTTATGCCATGTCATTGTATGTACTGTGGATGGAGTTTGACTTTTATCTGCCTCTGTAATTTTGGAAAAGGAAAAAGAAGCAATTTGAATTTGGAAAAATCATGAAAATTCAACGCCTGATGCATGACAGCACTTGCATGTTTCGTAAGGTTTAAGTACTTGACATTAAATAAAAGTCAAATTCCAACGGCAATATACAAAATTTTAGAAAAAGGGGGGGCTAAAAAACAATATAATAAAGAAGTCACACCTAACAGAAACTCATGCTCATCAACTGTCAAAGAACCAAAAACAAACAAATCTTGGTACATTGAAATTGATGGGTTGACTAGTTGTTGACCAAATACAAGAGATAAGAGGGATAGGTGGAGGTTATGGTGATGCTTGATGTCTGTGATCTTTCTCAATTGGTTTAGAAAAAGCAAAAAGTTGTAGTCAACTAACATTTTTTACTAAATAAGAATTATATCTTAGTAATTACATGTACATTAGTTTAACTATGGTCGGATCCATCAACACCTACACCACCAACAGAACACTAAGCATGACTACACCTTGTTCAGTAACTTAGAACAAGTTTTCGAAGACCCTCGTTAATGAAATCCTCCCTGTTGTATACCATTGTAGAAAGAAGGTCCAATCAGCAGCAACAAGCGTAAGTACACCTCGTTCGAGTGCTAAAGAGAGGAAACACAAACCCAGGTTGGGCCTGTTTCTTTGCTTCTGTGGGGAACCATCAGCTAAGCATCACAGTCACGAGCAAGTCCATCATCTCCCAGAAATGGACAGTTAATTGTCGAAAGATTTTGCAGCCCCCCTTCACCATTTTAGCTTTTTCCTCGATCAATATGACTGCCAAGAGAGGAACGAGATTCGTGTTTCGGATTGGATCTGAACAGACGCCGCTTGTGAATGTGCAGTTTCATTTGTCATTTAGAACTGAGTGTTACATTATGATGTTTGGAGGGACTGAGCCTTGTTAACTGATTGAAAACGAGGAAGCACTCAACGATCTTACCATTTTGTAATTTCTTGTTGTCATTCATGGAGTCGTGACTGGTACCAGGGCTCATATTAGATCTGTGGAATCAAAATGTTCTTTGTTGGTATAAATGAATGTTTGAGGTTGCAGAGCAAGAATGATTGGACATGTTTTAGGTTGCAAAGCAAGAAGTTTTGGACGTGGCTGCTGGCTGGGTTAATGAACAGACTTTTATGTGCAGATTAGGTGCATAACACAAAGTTCAATTCTCCTGCATGCCTCGTCAAATACAAACATTTTCATATGTGGGCAAATCACTCAGGTTTTGACTTGTGTCTTACTTGGTTTCTTAAGTTTTACAGGATTATTTCATCAACCTGGAGTTTGGCTACCTAAAGTTTAGGTTTTGACTTGCGTCTTACTTGGTTTCTTAGAGATTTACAGGATTATTTCATCAACCTAGAATTTGCCTATCTAAGGTTCATTTCTTGTTGCAGAACAAGAAAACATTTGAATCTGAAGAGATATTACTTCAATAGTTATGATAAAAATCTAAATCTCCTTAGGGAGACTATTTTTGTTAAAAGGAAGAAGAAAATTTTGTAGAATCTAAGACGATAGTGCTCTCAGAAAATGAAAAATAACGAAGCTAAGACCTCATTTGATGAAGTGTCAAAGCTAAACCTTCGAAACTTAGTAATATACTGAAGCTCGTTTGGCAATGCTAACCAGTTTTGAATTAAACATCCAATCATGTTTAGGGATGGCGGTGGGAGCGAGGTGCATCTCCTACCGTAGCATGATTAGAGGAGGTTTCTCATCTCTTCCCCATGCCCCTTAGCGAGCGATTCTCTCTTTCCCCATCCAGGCCAACTTGGCCCTCTTCCTCGGGGATCCGAGACAAGGGTAGCTCAAGAGAGCTGCCAACTCCAACTATCGTCCATGTATGATCCATTATCCCTACCGGAAGTGTGGGTAATTTCCTAACATTTGCCCCGTGCCATGTCGATCGCATGAATGACTAGCATGAATGAGGCAACAAACATATAGTTTTAACTTGAGGCAAGAGAAACTAGAAGTGGACAAAGAATTTGGGGCAAAGAAACGTCCCTTGTGTCTGATCCACGTCCTTGGATCCTTGGTGTTTGGTGAGGTTTACCTCACCAAGGACGGGTGTTTATACCTAAGGATACTACAATGCCTTGTTTAATGACCCGATGGCCAGTTTACTTCCTTACCCCCTGTCCCTCCCCGTTTTTGTTTTTCTTCCAATGGAAAGACTATTATACTCTTTTATTTTAACATGCAGAGATCCAGATGGAACCTTTTAAAGACCTGCTCAGGTCCTCAAAACTTATTTAACTGTGGGTGTCGCTTTGTCTAGGGTGAGACAATGTGGGTCTTCATGTATGCTGGATAAATTGCCAACTCAGTTAGAATCTACTTAATAAATTAAGTAAAGAATATGTTACTTAAATTTATACTATGGATTCTATTGAAAATTAGAATGTTCTTGTGTATGTTGCTAAAACATACATATATAATTCGTACCTATATGTTTAAGAAGAAACTAATAATACTTCATAGTAGTTCTTCAGCCAATATCGAGCATTTTTTTGTCTTTTCATTTTCAATACTTGAGGTTGTACACTTTTGTTTCCCTCGTTGCATGTGGGTCCTTTACATCACGAAGCAAAGGAAGTAAAAACATATATGATATCCTACGAAAAAGACGAGCAGTATTGATATACTACAAAACAATTGATAAATCGACAAGTAAAAATGTTCAATATATAGCTCTCGTTTTCTCTAACAAGTCTCTCATATAATCTAAATTTCGATAAAAAATTTCTTGCAAATAGTCATTCCTGAGACATAGTTTAAATTCATTCTCGAGACACTTTAAATGAAACTTTTTTTCATTTATTAATTTTTTAACATTTTTTTTTGGTGCACCCGCATGTCCTTTTTGCTAGTATACACGGTTAAAAAAGAGAGAAAAAAGGTGAGCCTATTTTAGATCGATCGGATCGATTTGTAGTTCCAAAATTGGGACAGACTCTGATAGGGTAGGTTCAGGTTTTGGTTTAGAAACAACCCGTTCCTGAACTAGTCAACCCTACCCTACTAGGGTCTGCTTACGTCTGATTTGTTTCAATGCTCGATTGTTTCTTCTGATTTTTTTTTGCGGTGTTGCAATTGGATGGCCCGTTGGACTTGGACCCACTCATCAATTATTTGATTAGGGCATGTATTCTTTCACCCTTATCGAAAGCACTGATACTTGTATCTAAGTATTTCTATATTTCATTGGAATAATAAATATAAGTAATGATAGTCCTTTATATATACTGCAAAATGATATGAAAATATATATACCAGATACATGCTATATTTGGAATACTCGTGAGATTAAGTAAGTCGCGAAAAATACAGATCATGTATACAACAACATATCAAATTATATACATTATCTAACATCTATCGATTGGCAGGTTACAAAAATTAACATTGTCCATTTTTAATTTAAGCTTAGCTTAAAACGAATGATGCTTATAATTTATAATGGATATGAGACACGATGAGAATCTAGCCCATCATTGAATTCCTTATTTGGCATTTATTGGGTAGTCATTGAAAGCGTTGACTCGGAGCAGAAGAAATATAACCTAAGCTATACTTATATGGATCTCTGTATATATATGGCTACAACTGCTTGCTCCTAGATCAACATAAGGATACCAACAACAGCAAAAGAAAGGGTCGAGAAGTGTAATAGAGATGGAAATCAAATCTTTCAACATGGTAATGACTCTGTTCATGATGTTGATGATACTCGGTGTGTCCTCCAAAGAAAGCAATCTGCCGACTGCAAACTGCGTTGTATTCTGCCTTGCAGCAAGGACGACAATCCGCCTCTTTGTTACATCAGTTGCACGAAGAATTGTGGGGCTGCCTCGCCACACGTGACTTCGGTCAACTATTGTGATCTCGGTTGCATGACGTCTATATGCTTAGATCCTGATACAGGTATTCATGGAATCACATCTTGAAATCCTAGCTGACTTGATTAAGTGCATCGGCTTGAATATGTACAAAATTTCTCTGTTTAAGTACTAACTGAATGGATTTATGTGATGTCCTATATACTTATGAAGCCATTTTGACAGTGTTGTCTCTATAGTTTATTGGAACTACATTGACAACGACAACATTCTCAATTGATCCTACCTGTAAGACAAGGTTGCTAGGGAACCATTTTGTCGAAGCTAACTAGTCTAGATTGAGCCTAGCATAGTACATTATTTGTGTCAGCTCCGTCTTTGAATCATTTCTTATGAATCACTTCTTAAGCCTTCTCCTAATATTATCTCCTCCAACGTGGAACAAAATCTGTGAAGTATTTATAAGTGAACTAACCTCCAAGTAACCACCAATTTAGTATTCCTTTGGATCTTTAATTTAGGTTGAACGGGCCAGATCGTTATAATTATGACAAGCGTTACTGAATTTTAAGAAATGAAAATCAAGTTGGACAAGCACTGTCAAAATCCTAAGCATGTGTCATACATTGTGCCACAACACAGGAATAAAGAATCTACACCCATGCAAAATGAGAAATCAATACATGAGTATAGTATATGTATTATGTATAAAATTGATTTTGGACCATTGAAATTGATCGGTCTCATGTGGCTCTCATAAGGGCCCAATTACTAAACGTCTATATACATTTTAGTACAATTGTTAAATCCACCAAATATTTTCTAATCCAGAATAATGTTATGCCTGATTTTCTTACCCTACTTTCTATTATATGCACATGCCAAAAAGGCTAAAGCTTGTGTGGACAATTGCTCAGGCGATTGCAGGAAGTCCTACAGTGCGGATAATTGCACAGACGATTGCAAGAAGTCCTACAAACTGCACTAATATCCGGGAATTGCAAGAGCAAATAAATAAATAATCAAGACTTTTTTGTCTTTAGGTGTTGGATGGAAATCAAAGTGTAGTGTAGCATTTGTCTGCGCTAGTTTTAGTGTTGAAATCTATCCTAAAAATTACCATTTGACCTCCTATAACTTTATAACATAATTCAATTTCGCTTCCCTCGAATGCATGAACCCGGAATCCCGTTGATCGGTTGACTCGACTCAACTCAAATATAAATTTTGAACTGGAGAGATCGCGGTTATATGACACGGCATTCCCATTATGGATGAAATTTGGAGATACGGTATCTCCAATCTCTTTCGAAACTTCTCTTTAAGTTTTCTTTGACATCACCAACCACTTCATCGGTTGGAATGCAAATCCTCACTTTTCATCGGCAAATTTCATGCACCAATAGATAGATGAATCATAGTAGGTTGTCAACTTCATTAGATACTGCAAATGCACCAATTTAGCTGTTAATGTTTTACCGAAGAAATATAGATTTTACAAATAGATGCGATGAGTTGTTAGTAAGTTACTAAGGAAATAATGATCACTAGTTTCAAATTTCGGGAAAAGCGTCATAAAAGTTCTAAATTTATTGCATTGGTGCCAATTTAGTCCTAAATTTTTTAAATAAGTCAATTTAATTCTAAATCTTTTAGCCTAGTGCCAATTTAGTTCTTCCGGCTAATTTTGGCTGGATACTACTTATGTGGACGCTGGTCGACCTACGTGGCATTGCCGTCGACCGACATGGCACCGCCGATTTTGACGTGGACAATTTATAATAATATGTTAGTATTTTTTTGGAATTTTTATTATTTTTTGTGATTTTTCGTTTTTCCTTTCTTCTTCCTTTTGCTGGTGACCAGCTACCAGCCATGGCTAGGTGAGGTGGCGTTGCTTGGGGGAGGATCGTCATCAACTACCACAGGCGAGGCAAGGCGAGGCGAGCCTCGGCGAGGGCCCCCCTCGCCCAGATCCGGGCAAGGTCGCAACCCTTTTTGCTCACTGCTGGCAAGGGCCTAGTGACCCTCGCCCATTGGCTAGCGAGTGGCCCGGCGGCCCTTGTCGGCTATAGTAAGAAAAAAGAAAAGAAGAAAAGAATAATTTTTTTTTAAATATTGAAATATTCTTAAAAATTATTTACGTCAGCGCCGAACGCACCACGTAGCACAGTTGGCATTTAAAT